TTTTATGAAGTGGTAGACATAAAAGGACAGATGGTTTCCAATGAAGATAAAAATAAGCACACAACCTAAATTTTAAACCTTATTACAGTAGGCAGTATTTAGATCAAGCAATGTTCTCCCCCCACTGGATGTTACAGTCCTTAATACATAGACTTCCCCCTGAAGCCTGGACCAGTCTTCTCAGATGATCTTTGTTGTCTCAGCATCCCAGTTGTTTCCAGTGTAAGTGGGGGAGGAGACCAAGGCATGGTGCCACTGTTACCTATTTTTTATCCTTAGCTTTTTTTATTTATTAATATTTGAGATATCCAATGTCCTAGAACTGGAAGGGACCTTGAAAGGTCATCAAGTCCAGCCCCCTGCCTTCACTAGCAGGACCAAGTACTGATTTTGCCCCAGATCCCTAAGTGGCCCTCTCAAGAATTGAACTCACAACCCTGGGTTTAGCAGGCCAATGCTCAAACCACTGAGCTATTCCCCCCCCCCCTTACCCGGTTATCCTTGCCCAGACGTGGCCTGGTGGGCTTTGCTGAGTCATTGGGCTGAGCGATCCCCCTGGTGTGGTCTTGTGCAACTGAGTCAGGGGGTTGAGGAGTCCCCATTGTGTGGTGCTTGCTCAACCATCATTGAATTATAAATCCCTTGACTACACCTCCCCTGCTGATTCATGGTCGTGCAGCACCCTCCTGGGAGTAGTTACCTTCTTTGTATGTCCCTAACAAACTTATAGCACATCTCAGGAACAACCATACAGCACAATCTCATAACTTGATACGTACTAGCGATATACACATTTGGCTAGAACAATGGGTTTCAGCAGATAGCTTATAAGGCCTGCTTTGTCTGAACCATCTCATAATCATATGACAGTGGTGAATATGGGGGTTCCAGGGTGCTCCTTTGAGGCACAGAGTGCCCCAGGAGAGGAAGGGCCCTCCACTCTATAGGGACATCTGGGTGAGGTCCCCTTCCCCAGTCACTGCTGCCCACAGAGCAGGGCTCCAGTAGGACACACTCACCCACTGCCAGGGCCACACCTGGGGAGATTTGGGAAGTGCCCCCATCCCCATGGCACCCGTTGCAGACTCCAATAGAATCCAACAGGAGAGCCCCTTTGCACAAAGGCCAAGGAGCATTAGCTGACTAGTGTGATGCTAGTATCTTTTCAGTCAACTTTTAACCTGAGCAGGATTTCTCAAATCCAGACACTCACCTATTCTTAACCAGCCGACAATTTGTTAATACACCCAGAACCACATTAATACATAATAAGCAGTTTAACCTTAAATGTAGACACAATTGCCTGGATGTGCTACACACACAATACAGTCCCACAAGCAGTGCTCCCAGACTAGAGTTGCGTGCGGTTCAGCAGTTACACCAGGGAACAATGCAAGTTTACTTACAATCATCAATTCTCAGTTCTTTAGTATCTCCCACATTGCTCTCACTGCCCAGGTGCACTTGTCCTGAGGTGCTTTGAAGAGGGTGGTTACTTCTTTGACTACATTGGTCCAAAGGGGACAGGGTTAGAATATTAAAAGCAGTGGCTTAAAACAATTTGTTTCAACCTCTCTGAAGTGAATTTGCTTGGACTTATAAAGGAGTTAAAATCTAACATATGGCTATCATAGAAGATTAGGGTTGGAAGAGCCCTCAGGAGGTCATCTAGTCCAACCCCCTGCTCAAAGAAGGACCAACCCCAAGTAAATCATCCCAGCCAGGACTTTGTCAAGCTGGGCCTTAAAAACCTCTAAGGATGGAGATTCCACCACCTCCCTAGGTAACCCATTCCAGTGCTTCACCACCCTCCTAGTGAAATAGTGTTTCCTAATATCCAACCTAGACCTCCCCCACTGCAACTTGAGACCATTGTTCCTTGTTCTGTCATCTGCCATCACTGAGAACAGCCGAGCTCCATCCTCTTTGGAACCCCCCTTTAGGCAGTTGAAGGCTGCTATCAAATCCCCCCTTACTTTTCTCTTCTAAATAAACCCAGTTGTCCCAGCCCCCCTAATAATTTTTGTTGCCCTCCACTGGACTCTCTCCAATTTGTCCACATCCTTTCTGTAGTGGGAGGCCCAAAACTCGCTGCAATACTCCAGATGTGGCCTCACCAGTGCTGAATAGAGGGGAATAATCACTTCCCTGTTAGGCAAGAGTTAAAAATTCAGTTAGCAGCTGAGACAGAAACCCACGTAACTAATGTAGCCCTTCTGCCCATCAGAGTTGGCAGCAACAAGGGCCGGGTTCAGTATCTAGGGGTTCCGTTTCACTAACACAATGCAAAATCGGCTCAAGCCCCCACCCAGTGACCTGGGACAATTACATACCACCCCCCTGGGCACCTCTAAGAGGCAATACCCCCTCTCGCAAGCACAGAGTCTGAGTGTAGCAAAAGCCTTTTAATAAAGGAGGGAAACATTGCGGCATTATGTTGGGGAAACACCACAAACAGGATTCATAACACGAACCATGAGCAAAAGACACCCCCCCCCCAGTAAGTTTGGCAGTGTCCTTTTCCCCTCAGGGGAAAGTCCAGCAACCCAACAGTCACCCCCACCCACAGTTTCTGTCCTTGGTCAGTGCAGCTCCCAGAGTTCAGAAGTTCATCTGCAGAGTTTACCTCCCAGCCTGGGGGGAAGTATGGGGGGCAGCTTCCATGCTCCGCTGCTCAGGTCAACGGCCAATTGCCATACCTCTCAGCAGGATTCTGCTACAGTCTTCACTGCCAGCTGCGCCTCTCCACTAGCCAGCCTGCTAGCCGCTCACCAATATGTCTTCACCCCACACACACACACTTAACACAGCTCTCAGTAACTTCAGCTCTTTGGTGATTTCAGCTGTTAATAGGGGAGCCTCAGTGCTGGCACACTCAGAACCACTTGCCCGAAGTAGGTCTAATGCTTAGACCTAGGAATCAGTGATTTCAACTCTGCAGCATGTAACAAGACTCCTAATGGAGTCAAAATTAGTAATGTTATTACACAGTGGAGAGAGGAGGGGGGTCAAAGTACTGTTTAGGGCCCTCAGAAGGGGACCCACACTACCAGGTACACATACCTATCCCCAGCCTCTCTCAGTTCACTGGGCTTTGGAGCCCATGTCCCTTGCCTAGCAAGTGTTACTTAGTTGAGGGTGAGTCCCTCTGTCATAAAATGCCAAGTACAGTTCTACTGTCCTTGATTCCATAACCAGGACAACAACACTTTATTACTCCTGCCCCAATAACAAAGGGACTAGGGGTCCCACAGCAGCCAAAGTGACCATTTGGGCAAGCAGTCCCTTCATGCTAGGCAG